GAGTCATGGCAGTGCCACCTCTTACCTTGGGTGGGTGGGTGGTAAGAAAGCTGTTAGCATGCTGGGGGGTAGGGGGCACATTGGACTTGCCATTTTTTTCCCCAATTGTGGGTAATGATTGTCTGAGGATTGTACTACTCCTCAAGGCAAAGGTCCTGCTTTTCACACAATCACTTCTAGGGGTTGAATCCTAGGTCAGATACTACACTGTTATTGCACCATGTCAGAAGTTGCACCTATATAAGACTCTTACAGTTTTGGTTCTAGAAACAGAAAGCATACTGCTAAGATATTTCTAATAGACTGCTAAAATATTTCTCCATAGAGTAGCAAAAGTAGGTCCCCTCTATTTAGTGAGGAACTCAGTTGTTAGTGGTGGCTCAGATGAGAGATCAAGGCAAACTTTGAGTAAGTTCTGAGGGTATAACCTTTGTATCCACATATAACATGGTTGGAAATACTACCTTTCTTCTTATTGGAATGCCCAGGTGCACTTGGTAATGCACCTTGCTGGCAAGCTAGCACAGAACTCGCTGGCTCTAAGCACCATTCTAAGCACCTGCCCCACCCAACACACACATGAACATATGTCTTGGATGGTTTTTTCCTTCATGGAAGGATTATTTCTTTGAGGAAGGACATAGTTCTCTCTAGGGAGATATAACAATATTAAAGACAATAAACATTGTCTTTTCTTAGTACAGTTGGTTTTAAAGTTCTGGGTCATGGAGGCTTCCTGGCTTTGCCAAGCTTATCTAGAGAGATGAAAAAGGTGTCCCCTACCAAAAATTCAGTCACATTTTCCAAGTTTTAAAATTTTTCTTTCTTTCTGAAAGTGAGATATTAAGAAAAGATAAATAAAAACAATAACATTCCCAGAAAATTGCAAAAAATTCTTAACTGAACAGATCACACTTATAAGTCTAAGCTAAAACTAGTCCCTCTGGATAGTGAAGGCGTCAGCTGCTTCATTCCCCATAACTAGTGTGTAATTTTAGGATCTACAGAGAGTCTGAGATATTTTACTATGCTTGAAAGTTAACGAGTTGGTTGGCCACAGTTTTGTGGATATTGATAGAAGACACAGTACTTCTAATTCAGAGACGGAGGATGCTATTACTCATGGCACAGCATGAGATCCATGTTCCCATCCACTCCTTTGTCCCCTGAGGCCCACAGGTGATGCAGAGAAGCCCAGGTAGATTCTGTGCATGCAGCAGATTTAAGTCACAGCTGAGGAGTGTAAAACCCAAACTGTTTTTTTCCATTCAACGAATCTTTATAGTATGCCTACTATCTGCTGGACACTGTTCTAAGAACTGCAGACATAAGTAAACTCAGCAGAAAGTTCTCTTTGTGGAGCTGATATTTTAGTGAGAGAAGACAAGTAATAACGATAGCCATAATACAGAAGTAAATTCTATAATAAATCAGGATATACTAAGTATATGGACAAAGAACCGGAGCAGATAGAGGGGAGCAGGAAT